AGCAGCCTGCCTCAACTGGCAGGAACCTGGAGGGTGGGGCCCCTGCCTTGTGCAGAGAGAGGTGGTCAGGGGGTGGCCCATGCTAGCCCGCTGCCCCAGGCCTGGGTGGTGGCTGAGACACACATCTGAGCCACTCCCCAAGCCTGCATACTGCCCAAAGTTTCTTATCCTTGGGGATAAGGGTGAAAGGTTATTACCTTATTAGGCACAAGAAGTCTGTGAAGTTGGAAAGGGAGAAGAGCATCTGTGGCTTCAGGTGGGTCAGACCTTGTCTGGGAGACACAGTCACACAGAAGGCCCACTGTTACTGTGCCACTGCGCTCCCCTAGACTACTGGCCAGGTGCACTGGGAGTCTCCTCTGAAACGTGACTCTGCCCTTTCTGCTCTGTCCTCTTTGGGGACAACTTGCAGCCCACACCTGGGGTAGCGATGACACTTATTCTCAAGGCAGATTCTTATGCAAGAGATCCTTTCTGCCTCATTTACTTATTTGGTCATTTATAAGAGGTTGTGCTTGTGGATGTCATGTTCCAGCTTTCATGGGACATCAGGGATACCCTTACCTGGGGTGCCCTCCCCTACATGCAGGAAGCCCTGGGTTTCCTTTGTCAGTGGCACACCTGTTTCAGAGCCACCTCCAGTGCCTGCTGCCCCCACTCCATGTCCTGTAGGGGCACAGGGTGAGGGCTTGGCTTAGGGTGCCACTCAGGGCGCCAGTCTCTAGCTCCTCACAGGAGCCTCAGGATGCTCAGGCTGGGCCAAGGGCTCAGGTGGGACCTTTGGAGCCACAGGCATCTGTCCCTGGCCAGCTCAGTGACCAAGGCCCAGAGGCAAGAGATGGAAGGCTGGGGACACATCCCAGGGTATGTAAAGGCGTGGATGTGTAGTGTGCGGCAATGGGCTAGGGCAGGGCTGGGGTGAGGCAGGACAGGGAGCACAGGTAGGCCCTGTCAGTGCAGCTGGGATGAGAGCCTGCAACTGCGTCCTAGTGAGGGCTCCTTCCTCACCTGTGTGCGACACCGCCAGACTAGGGACAGGCACCTCTGGCCCGGGGCCAAGAGACAAATGTTTCTAACCACAGCCAGCTGGCTCTGGTGAGTGGGCAAGTTTGGGAAACATTTGTTATGTGAGGAAACCTTGCTTCAATTAAGCAAGGCAGGAGGAAATAGCCCAGAGGGAAAACCCAGCATTCCACCTCCTCCAAGGAGACTCGCTTGGCCTGGGTTGACTGCAGGCCCAAGTGACGATTTCAGATGAAACAGTCTGTATACACAAACACAGGCCTGGCCAATCCCACAACACTAAAATGGTCCAGATGTGCAGAAAAGCTGCTGCCTTCCGGCGGGCCTGCTTGGCACTGAACCAGACCAGTCACCCATCTGAACTTCCCTCTGTGTCGACCTTCCTTGACAGGGACCAGGAGCAGCTCTCTTCTGGGAAATCCCAGCAGGCATTGATCTTTCTGGATTCCAAGGAAGTTCGGCATGGGACCTCTGACTTCTGAGCATCCATTAGTGGACACCATGCCAGGGATGAGCCCAGTGAGCCCTCATGAGCTCAGATCTGACCGGAAGCCACTGTGCAGGTGGGACAGGGCAGGACTGTCTCCGGCCAGGTGATGAGATGGGTCCTGGCAGACCTGGGGCTATGGATGACATGGGAATCATGCATGCATCACTGGGACACTCTGAGGCCTCCGAGAACACTGGGCTGGGATGAAAGCCACAGTCTATTGTTCTCAGGGGAATGGGGAGTGGGAAATATTTCTCAGGGTTCACAGGCAGAGCACTGCTATCTGCATTCAAGATCAGTCAGAAGCCAAGTGGGAAGTGTCACATTCCCATGTAGGAGGTCTGAGGACTTCCACCTCATTGCTGCACAGCAGAGTGCACAAGGACCTGACTGGAGCTGGCCACTATGCCGAAGGTCGAGTCCTTCTCCTGTGTCCCTTGGAGGAGGCTTCACAGAGACCAAAGATAGTGTCAAGGCTGAGTGCTAGAGCCAGCAATCTGCCTCTGTCCTTGGATCCTGCTGTGGCTTTTGGGATCCTCCATGTTCTTGATATTGTTTGCTGTTGGAAATCAGGCCAGCAGAGTGAGTGAGTCCCCTTCAGGTTCCTTGCTCCTAGCTGAGCTCAGGTCTCCTTCTCACTAAATCAGCAGGAAAGAGAAAGACTCCAATGCGGCCTCAGCACCAGGTAGGTGTACTGGGAACACCTCATATCAGGAAGAAGTAGCCCAGGTGAGGCGAAAGCTGGAAGGTAGTTGGCAGCTCCAGTTTCCAGCTCTGTGGAACTCAGGGCTCCATGGATAAAGGTCCCTGGATCATAAGTTGTGTAGACACAGACTTCTTGGATGTCCCTTCTTGCCATTCCAAAGATTCCAGGGACCCTAAGCCAGCCAGCCTTCCCACATAGCTCCAGGCCCACTTTCCAGCCAGGGAACAGAATGGTGGCTGGCCCTGGCCAGCCCTCCATGAGGGCTGTTCTGTGATTCACCATCATGGTGAGTGTCCTGACCACACAAGGCCACTTCACCAGGGTTTTCCTATGTAGGCCCAGGCTGAGCCCTTCCACAGAGGACCCTTCTCTGTGCCTTTTTTGAGTGATCCAGGAGCCAGGTTCTTCCAGGAAGTTTTCTCACTGGAAGACCAGGGTGTGACCCATGTCCTGAAGCCAACGGGATTCGCTACTCTGGATGAGCACTGTGAGGACCTAGTCCTTGTGTGGGGCAGCTTCTCCTGGGGAATCCCTGCCCTGACTCCTGCTATGTAAACACTTCCTGGGGGTGAGAAACAGTGGGCTCTTTCCCACAGGGCCCCCTTTCCAGGGGGACAAAGACAGCATAGCCCCTACCAGACCTGCCCAGGTCACTCAGGGAAGGAGCAGACAGGAGCAGTCTTCAACAGGATGCTCCAGGTGGGTGCCTGTGCCCAGTAAGTCTGCTGGCATTTCCTTTACCCTGTTGGATGTATTTTCAGACAGCTGGTGGGCTTGGCTACTGTGGAGAAAGACGGCCATCAGTTAGGTGCCACAGTCCTCAGGGCAAGGACTCACCATGGGCATCCAGATGGCTCCAGTCCCTTCCAGTCAGGGAATGGCAAGTGGACAGAAATGTGGCAGATCATCACTCAGAGATCTCCAGTGAGCTTTTTTCTCTGCTAGAAATCATCATGATATCTAATTGTAGCAAGGAGAGTCCAAAATTTACAGATCATGAGATGGGGACTTTTTTCTTCATCTCAATATCTTGGCTGATTAAAAAAAGTAATGCAAGGGGCTGGGGATTTAGCTCGGTGGTTTCGCTGCCTGCTGCGCAAGCGCAAGGACCCAAGTTCGATCCCTGGTACCAAAAAATATAAATAAATAAAAAAGTAATGCAGCCCAAGAGGGAGAGCTTGCATTGAAAAATGAGCTCCAGAAGTGGAGGAGCCTTAGTTGCCAATATGCCGCACTGCCCACTAGGCCAATATTCCACAGGCCTTGGCCTGTGTCACATACTTCCCGCAATGACTGCTCTGGTTAGGGTCTAAAGTAGGAGATAGTGGGATCAAATCCAAGTCCTCTGTACTAAAATGTGAATTTGAGCAAGCAATTTAACTCTTCAAAGTCTCAATTTCCTTCTCTGAAAAAAACAAAAAGCAAGAAAATGACAAAACATATCTCAGGCCGTGTGGTGGCTGTCATTGTAGTGGAGCAGTATGCCTGGCTCTAGCCCACAGACTGTGACTTGAGGCTTTAGTTTTATGGAGCCAACTCCACAGATCACATTTTCCATTGCATGTCAACAGCGTGAGACCAGCCTTCCCTCTGGGTGTGCAGCAAAGCCCTGCTTCTCATCCTGCATGTCAGATCTGACCAGGAACTGACACACCCTACCCATCCTCTGCCCAACAGAGCTGCCTTCATGCTGCAGAGGTGGAGCTGAGCATCGCAACTGTGAGGCCTGTAGAAGTCACATCTGCCCCCATGGGCAGGGCAGACCCCGTGTGGCTTTTTCCTCTGCACAGGGTACACCCATCCTGGGCCTTGCTGAGGTAGCATGGGGCCCGAGATCCTGTGTTGCCAACAGTGTATGTCTATGGATGCCTTCTTCCAAAAAGGTTTCAGCAGTAAAATTTAATTCAGTGCTTCAAACACACAGACATTGCTCCAACCAGAGGATCAGAAGTTCAAGGCAGGACCTAGGGCCACCAGGCTCTGCCTTTCCGGCCTCACAACTCCCAGGGGTGGAGATGGGTGGCAATCCTCACTTGGGAAGAGATTTCACTGGGGTTTCAAATTCTGAGTGTGGTTACGTGTGATGGGCAGTTAGTGAGAGGATATTTAGGATCTGCGAAGGGGAATCTCTTTATCACTGAGTGGAGAAACCTGGTGGAATTAACTTTCACCAAGATGTGGCGGTTGCTGTGATTGCCCAAACCACACAACATCGCAGGTCTCAGACTTGGAGGAGCACCAAAGAGATGCAAGCCTGTGGCCTAACTGCTGAAATGCAAAGCGTCAGTCTGTCAGCCTGTTTAACAGACTAACTGATGAGAGGGCGGGGATCTGGAGGACAAGGGCAACCCCAGGCCCAGGTGAGGGACAGATGAATGCAGGGTGCCTCACGGGGTCCTGAATGGAAAAAACAGTATTAGAGGGAAAAGAAAAGCTGAGATCTGGGCACAGCCTGTCAGTTTAATTAGTACTATTGAGCGAATGCTCACTTCCTGGTTCTGATGGTCCCACTGTGTCTGAGTAGCATGCTAACCTGGGGAAGCTGGGTGCTGGTGTCAGGACTTGCTCAGGGATATTGTTCTGACTTCTCAATAAGACCATAGTTTTCTTTGTTAAGGGACATGTGTGGCATAATTCTAAATAGTTTGCCCGATATTTGGATTCTGAAAGGCACACTCCTGTGTTCCTGGGGCTGAGCAGGAAGTACACTCCGTTTGAGCAACTGTGTGACTCACCACAGACCAAACTCACACCATGTGAATTAGGCAGTGTTTGTTCCCAACGGGAGCCACCTGGAGCCTCAGACCCACTGTCTCAGGTGGACCAAAGCTCTGATGCTTTTGTGAAACTCCCAAGATGATACAGGTGAGCATATTTTATAAACTGTGCTTTAACTCTTTGAGAAAATTTGCTAGGGAGTAACCAGTTAACTTTTAAAAAAATATGTTTGAAATGTGACTTTAATTTCAAGATGGTGATTTACTTGCACATTTTCAGGAGTATAACTCAGGCGAGATACCACCTGGTACGAGATGAGGGGAGTGGCTGGCCCTGCCAGGTTGAGAGCTATTGTACGTGTTGCTTGGTCACAGGATGACTTTGGGTTGGGCCTCCCAATGCTCCAGTGTCCCTGCCACCTTGCACACAGCTCAGCACCCTGGCTCTAATTTTGCCCGTGCTGGTGGCCCCCATCCTGGCTGTGCTGTCCCTCTGTAGCCAAAGTTCTGGAGGTGGCTGCTGTTGACATTAACTCTTATCCCCAAGGTGCTGTACACTGCTGACCATGTCTCCAGGAAGGGGAGGAAAGGCTCCTTCCCTCCCTCCTGCTTCTGGGAAGGCATTCTCCCTGTGTCTCCTCCCTCAGACCTCCTGTTTCACTGATGTCCCTGGACCCGGGTCACATCCTCACAGTGTGACTGGCATCTCTACCCACTCGAGGGTCTCCCTTCATTTTGCTGGGTGGCTTGTGTCCTCTCTAGCCTGCACTGCCCTGGGTGTCCCCATCCACCTAGAGAGCTGCAGCTGGGGCTGGGTTTCCTATCTCCTCCTCCTCCGAGCCCTGAGCAGCACCGCATCCCATACCCTCCTGGCATCCATACCATGCCCAGAGCCACTGTAATGGCTGCCTGGGCTCCCTGCAGAGGCCCAGCTGGAGTTGAGGAAACCTCAGCCCCATCATTCACCCACAGAGCCTTCGAGGATGCAGAGGTCAGAGCAGAGTCCTCCAGCGCTGCCCAGAGCTCCCTTGCATCCCTTTCCAGGGCAGCACAGACTAGGGGGACTCTCAGGAGCAGAGGCACTGTGCCAGACGACTACTACTAGTAGTTCCCTGACCACTGCGGATCACTCTTCCCACCTGAGGGTCTTCACTGAAGAAAAAGAACTTGTGCACCCCTCAGCTGGATCCCTCACCAGTCTCGCAGAGGTGGAGCTCAGCACTGACTCCTTTCCAACATGTGCACCTTCTGCCCTCACAGAGGGCCAGTGGGCTGAGCCCAGTGCTCCAGGCACCTGGAGGGTGTGGCACAGATGCCTGGTCCCCAGCACGCTCCCCAGCAGCAGTCTTGGACAAACATGGGGCTTATCCTAGGCACCCCCTGGAAGGCACCCACGGGCCAGAGAGGGAGCACCCGGCCATCCTGTCCCACCCTGTGGGAGTGCTGGCTCTGTCCTGAAGGGAGGACATGAGCGCCCCCACAGGGATGAGTGGCAGGAAGCAGCTTCTTGTTTCTGCCGCTCTTGCCAGCAGCCATGAAGATGCCAACTTCTGCATTATGCTTCTGGAATGGAATGTTTTAATTGAGATATTTAGTTAAGATAAACAAGACTTCTCATAATGTCCCTTTTGCTGGAAAATTAGATCGAAAGGCTTGGAGGACTCCACGAGTGAAGTTGCAAAACTGAAATAGACCCTAGCAGGAACAAGGGCGGATGTGACAGGGCCATCTTGCCGGGAAGACAAACTTTGGGCTGGCAGGACTCCTGGCGGGGAGGGAGGTGGGCGGAGCCTGGTACCCTGTCAGAGGGAGGCCATGGAGCTGGGGGAGGGCGCCAGGGGAGGAGAAGGCCAGGAAGGCCCCAGGCACACCACGTGCAGCCCAAGCTGAAATCTGAGCTAAACTCCTAGCAAAGGAGCCCAGCTGAATCTCCCTGGAGTGCTGCATGAACTGCCGGAGTCCAGCAAAAGGTGCACAAGTTCCAGTGTGTTTCAGAGAGGGTCAGGGAACTCAGAAAAGAGGTCACTACTTCCATCTCTACCTACTTAAAAATCACCTGGTAGCCATTGTATTTGAATATTATTTTCCTTTAACGTGGGGTACCTCAAGCACCTACAAGTGCCTGCCAGATTAGAACACCTGGAGGTTATTTTATCATTTCTATGCTGGTTACAGATTATTCATCCTGACTTGGTGGAGGCTGTCAGGAAGCTGACAAGTGAACATAATTATGGTGGCTTTACAAAGAAGCTTGGGATGCCTTTAAGTCACATCCAGTTTGCAAAGCTCCCACATAGCAGGGCGAGATGCCTGTCTTCCCTCACAGTCCACAGAAGGACGTGCTCGTGCCTCTTTCTGCTTCCCTTCACCATAACACAGAGCATGGGCACCGATGCCTGCCTCACAGTGAGCCACCTTCAGATGGTGCCTGAAAGTCCCCGGGCCACCAGAAACACAACATGATGGTCACAGAAGCAGGTCAGGTCCAGAAAAAGGGCTTCCAAGTTGCAGGTCATAAAAGTAATTTGGGGGCATATTACAGGAAAGTAGTTTCTTATTTTAACATAAATTTGGTCCCCAAATGAAATACAATATAATAATTGCTTGCAATTTGTTAATGAGTTGGGGGATTTTCTTATGTTTACTTTGAAAGCAAAGAAAACTGAATATGATGACTATTGCTACAGATCATCTGTAAATGAACTGAATAACAGTATTATTATAATGGATAAATGTAAGTGAATCATTCATTCACAAGGATTTGCTTCCATTTATCCTCGGGATTTTGCAGTTCATTGGAAGAGAAGCATTTTCTCTGTGGAGAGTCCAGGAGGGAGAGAGCTGGGATGTATGACCTCAGGCAGATCCGCTGATGAGACTGAGTCTCTGCCTGCTGGGCTGAGATGCACAGATTTAGCCCAGCCTTGCCTGGCCAGCCTTGCCCTCATTTGGATTATGGTCTATATGCTGTGTCCCCCCAATTGGAGATCAAGGCCCCACCCTCAGTGTGCCATAAGGACCAGACAGATTGGACAGGGCTCGGGCAGTGTGGGATATCTGGCTGGCTGGCTGGGATACCTTGGGGGCTGGAGGGGAGAGGGGTGACTTCAGGGGATATCATGGGAGCAGTGAGGTGGCTGCAAGGCCATTTTCCTGGGAGTGGGGTCAGAGTCTGGGCAACTAAAGATCCAGCGGGGGCACCTAAGTCCTGCACGCAGAGCAGAACCTGGTGAGGACGAGCACAGCACTGGAGAGATGCCAGATGAGGCCGGGGTCACTGCTGTCTGGTGTGAGCTGATGCTGCACAGGGAATCTGTGGGTGTGGCTGGGTGACCTGAGGTCCTCCCTTGGCAGCTGACTTGTCGGTTCTCACGGAACGGAGATACCCCGAGCTCCTGGCAGTCTGCAGGGTGGGCAGGGCCTCCAAGTGTGCATTTCTGGTAACAGGAGGACTATTTGGCCTGGTTCCCTGGGCTCTGCACAGCCACGCAGCTGACAGGAGGAGGCTGGGTAGCGGCCCGGGAACAGCAGGGACACCCAGGCAGGCACTCCTTGGCCTCTGAATTCTGGTTCAGTCATACAGGATGGGGAACACCTGTTCCTTTTGAGCCCAGCCTGCACAGCCCTGCCTTATTTAAGACAGGGAAGGAGGGGCTCTCTGACTGGATGGGATGACTCTGCTCCCAGGCCCTGGGTGCCTGGCAACAAGCCCCCGCCTGCAGCCTGCCCAAGAGCATTCCTGAAGGGGGAGGGCCCTGCGGAACTGCCTTTCTGCTCTTCTTTATCCTGGGTACTTGTTCTAAATTGGGAATGAGAGGAGAGGAAAAATAACCTGTGGTGGGGTCCCGGGACAGCCTGAGCACTTGCCAGCCCTCCTTAGTCCAGCTCGTGCCCTCTCCAGACTCATCTCTGGAAGGCACAGAGCCCAGGAGTAGATGCAGACATCACAAGGGCCACAGTTTCCTGCTACAAACCTGCAGTGCCCCCCATTACATTTGGTTTCTGCCCAGCGTTGTGGGTGCAAGTGTGTGGTGCCCTTTGGCAGCCCTCCTCCTCCTCCCCACTGCTCTCCTGAGGGCTGTGCCTGGGCCAACCACTCACACTCGCAGGTCACCCAGCCACACGTTCCCGTAGGAGTCATTCCTGACCCTGGACATGGCACCCACTGGAGCAGCAGCAGTGCTGCACATTCAGCTCTTCTGAATTCCCCAAACATCTGGTCCCCACTTGACCCTGGATGCCGGGAGCCATTGCTGTTGGTGTGAATGGGATCAGGGCCTGTGTGGGTAGGATGGGTTCATAGTCATCTCAGGGAGCCACGAGGCCTGAGTCCCCCATGACTCCTGTCCCTATGACAGCCTGGCTGTGACCCGTGTCTGTGCTAGGACCTCCTCATAATGTGCCTCTGGTGTGCTTTACAGAGCCACACACCCCATAACACTCAGCAGAGACCAAGGATATGGTTTTTCTGTCCTGATTTGGGGATGCAGATCTCAGAGGCAGCTGTGGGGTAGAGAGCTGACAGCTACAGTGATGTGCAAGAGCTGGTCCCTGCATAATCAGCACAAGGTGCCACTTAGTATGGCCAGTGTGAGAGTGTAATCTGCTGATAACTACAAGCAAAGATGTTTAGAAATGGGGAATGAGTCCCATAGACTTGATCCTGCTTTCCAGAGCCTGGAGCCTCAGAGGGAGTTTCTATTGCAGAACATCCTGAGGATGTTAGACTGCTATGCCAGCTTGATGATGACCATTAAGAAATGTTCCTGGCTTTTGGTTCTGTTGTTTAGAGAATAAAAACTCAAGGACACTCTAACACATTTCCAAATGCAGAGCCCAAGGCCTGGCCAGCAGCAGTGGGCTCTCCTAGGCTTCTAACATGGCACTTTGTCTGCAGAGAGCTGTGAGCCGGATGCCTTCGCATGGAGCTGGACTTGGGCTTCTGCTCTCCCCCCGCCACACAGAGGCCTGGATTTGTGTAAATATTTACTGGGCTGTTCAGGCTGATCTGATCTGAGGCTGTTGCCACATCACAAAACTAGTTTGAAAATGAGCTGGAAAGTTCGGAAAAAAAATTAGCGTCAGAGGCACTGGAGGGTGGAGCCTGAAGGAGGAAGGAGGCATGCCGTCTTCCCAGCCAGTGGCAGGGAGGGGAAGGGCCTTGGGCCTTGAGGGGAGTAGGGAGGAGCCAACTTTCTGGTCTTAGCATAGTACTTAGAAGTTGGTGCATCAGCATTGCCCAGCACCCATACGTAGAGAGGAAGGCCAGACTGGAGGGCGCCATGAGTGATGAGGCCTGATGTTCCTGTGCAGGGACCCGAGCCGTCAGTGGGGCCACCTGCTCACCAAGCCTGAGAACAGACCAGGAGGTGACAGAGGGGAGGGGGCCGAACGGGGACAAGACAGAGCTTCCTGGATGCAGGTGGGGGCTCCTGGGGCCCCTGGGAGGAAGCATAGGGATGTCTACTTTCAGACCCCACACATAGGTCTGAGCACTCTTGCCCATCTTCTGCAGGCTTCCATGGCAGGGGCCCTGCCTCTGTGGAACCCATGGCTCTGTTCTGGAGAGATGGAGATCCACGTGTGGTCTCCCTGTGAGCTCTTGATGGTGCAGAGCCAGGAGCTGCCAACTCTAGAGGCTCTGGGGAGGTACCTGTTGCACTCAGTTGGAGGGAGTGCTGGTCCTGGAAAGGCCACAGTGACAGTGCAGTGGCATGAGTCCTACAGGGCAGTTCCCCAGTATGGTCAGTAGAGAGGCTATACCGGCCACCCGCCTCCAGAACCTCCACAAAGACCAGGGCTCTTTCTGGAGCTGAGGATTCTCCTTTGCTGCTTATCCTGCAGTTCAGTGCCCCCTAGGCCACTTTGAATACTGTGCAAGGTCTTGGTCCAAGGTAAAATACAGGGTTTTTTTTGTAGTTTACTGACAAGTCATTTGAAAACACAGTCCAGTTTGAAGTTGCTGATGACTCCAGAGCCTAAGGGGCTGGACTCTCCTTGGAGGCTGAACTGGGGCTGCCCTCCTTCCAGCCACCATCAGGTGAGTACAGCCTCTGCCAGGGGCACGTTCTGGGGAGCTGGGTCCTTCCACAGTCTCCTGGGGTAAAGGTCACTTTGAGGCTTGGAACATGTGTGCTGCTGACCAACAAGGAGCAGCCCCTCAAGCATCACACTCCCCTTCCTATCCCTCATGATGTCACCTCCTGTCTGCCCTGAGACAGCAGCCTGAGGTCCATGTGGACTGTGCCAGGCCAGGGGTGGAGGGAGGACCCTGCTCTCACTGCCTACCTTGCCATCTCGACTTTTGTCTGTCTCCCCATTGCCTCATCCTCCCTGTCTGTGTCTTTTTCTTTCTGAATATCTTCAGGCAGAGCTGCAGGCTCCACAGGGTAGCCACCTGCCCACCTCTGAAGTCTGTCTGCACAGGGAGACCCAGGCTCCACAATCAGCTATGACACCTGCGTATGTAGACAGTGTGCATTTCAGAGCATGTTACGGGGTGCAGCTATGTGCCTGGGGGTGCTGCTTCACACCATCTGAGCCTCTGTTCCTCAAGTGGCCAAGGACACTTCAAATCTTCCCTGCCTCGTGGTTTGAGTGTGGGCACCCGTGACAAGCGTGGGCCAGCCTGCACTTGGCAGGAGCCTCAGGTGGGATGAATGGGGCTGGCCACGAAGCACTCTGTGGAGTCTGATCTGGAGGAGCTGGAGGCGCTTTCCTCTCAAGGCTGTGACCTACTGTCCGGCGCCCACCTTCCACGTGCCCTGTGTACCATACACACGCCGGACACACCCTCGCCCTGCTCAGCAAGCACACACCTGGTGTCTCACCTGAGCTAGCAGGCCCAGGGGCAGGTGTTTGGCGCCCAAGCTGCGGTGGAATTTGCTCTGCAGAGGTGATTCAGCGTCCAAACTCGTGGAGCCCAGGGTGCTGAGGACACAGGCGGAGCCAGGCTGCCCAGGCAGGTTCCTCCTGGCCCAGGCTTTCAGCAGGAATGTTCCTCCAGGCACTGTCTGGGGCCTTGGCACCAGAAACCCACCCTGAGGGCATTCATAGGCTTGCAGAGGTCACGTGGGTAGGTGGTGCCTGCAGGGCTGGCTCCTGGGCCTGTAGGCCAGCTATCCCTGCTCCCACTCCCTCTCTGTCCGCTGCATCCCTCTCACCCATCACTGTGGGGCTGGCTGGGCCACAAGTGTCCAGCCTGAAAGGATGAAAAGTTGGGAGAGAAAAATAAACCTGACATCTGCTTCTGAGAATACAGCACCCAAGTAGGAGAGGCCTGTTTGGGTACCTCAGCAGCCTCTGTTCTGTTTTTTGCAGGGACAAGCTGCCAGGCACTATGGATCCCAGTGCAGGGTTGGGAGCCTGCAGTGCTGGGCCAGGTCTTCTGAAGTGCTCCACACAGTCTCAGGCAGGTTCAGAGAGAGGCAGAGGCGAGCTGAGTCTGGGGCATCATCATCACTGTGCCACCTGCAGTGGTGAAAGGGAAGGCAAGCTCAGTGCAGGCCTTCCTCCACGCCTTCCTGCACTCTTGGATCTCAGCCCCTCTTGGGCTAGTGGGCTTCTCCCTAGAGGATTGTCCTGGCTTCTTCCTCACCCCAGGAGGTCTGGCTGTACCCCATGTGGGCCATCTTCACCCGTAGGCAGCCTGTGCTTTGCAGTGGGCTGCTGGGAGAGAAAGCCCAGCCCCGGGAGAACACCCCCCTTCCTACTGCCTGCTGGCTTAGATAACCACACCTTTATTAGTGCAGAGAACGTGTGATCTCAAGTCAGTTATGGAGGCTGGAATTTTGAACACTTCATTGTATGCAGATATTTATATGGAACACCTGACAAAAGAAATTAGAAGCACATTTTTCTTCTTTAAATTTTTAATTGACACAGGAGACTTACTTTAGGGGTACCGTGATAATTCTATACATACATATCACACATCAAGTCAGGACAATTAATTCTTCTGGCTCTGGGAACCTGCGTCATTTCTGAGCCACTTCTGGATGGTGGGCCCTTAGGACCAGGGGCTTCTGCCCCTGAGCTCTGTGGCCTCCACCTGCATGCAGTGTTCCTGAGGGCTGGCTGCTTCCCAGGTGGTGTTTCATGTCGCTATCACACAGGAGCCAGACGTTTGCCTGGAGGTGCCAGTGCGAAACTAGAGGTTTTGCTGCTTGACCTTACTTTTTCTAATGACAATAACATTTTGTGTACGATTTGGAGTTACTGAAGCAGACGTATGTGCATTTTCTTTTTTTTTTTTTTTTTTGGTACCAGGGATTGAATTCAGGACTTTGTGCTTGCGAGGCAGGCGGTGGAACCACTGAGCTAAATCTCCTGCCTCGTATGTGCATTTCTGTTATTGTTCCCACATCCTAGCTGCCTGTGTAATTCTTAGCCCTGCTATACTGCTGTAGAAATGAAGCTCAGAAATTTATCCAAGACCAGAAGGTTAGTCAGTGGTTAGGAGTCCCATTATGCTGTGTTGACCCAAAACAAACACCTCAGCAGTAGCTGGGGGTCTTCAGAGCTCAAGATTTATGCTTTTGCATTTTTTAATGTAAAATATACGTACAATTTACCATCTTCACCATTTTTAAGTGTGTGATTTAGTGGCATTAAGTGCATTCTTACCGTGTGAACCTTAGCACCTTCCATCTCCAAAACTTGTCTCTCAAAAACTGTTTCATTATGTATGGAAGAAGAGGCAGTGAAGATACCGCCTTTGGAGGTGCCCTGTGTCTAAGTTACCTGTATTGAACACAACATTTGAGCTCATGGAAAGCTAAGAAAATAAAAAGAATATTTGAAGAAAAAAGTGATCTTTCTGTTCCTCTCCAATTCTTGATTCTTTAAGAAAACAAAGAGGACCCTGTGGACCTTGATGTTCTGGTCTTACCAGGGCCATTTATATGGTGCTGAGCAACAATAGCTAAGTATGGTTATGTGCAGTCTCTGAAGGAATTTCCTAAAAACCCCAAATTAGTGGGAACAGGCTGTGATTTCAAGGATGGGTGAGATTTCTTTTGGCAAATTTCTCAAACTTCCATACTTGGTAATGAACTTTCTGGGAACAATGGCCAGGCAACCTCAATTGTGCTTGCTCGGTTTCATGGTTTGCTGAACAGGCCAGGCCTAGAATGACACTGTTCAAGGGAAAGAATTTTTTTTTTTTGGTACCAGGGATCAAACTTGGGTCCTTGCACTTGCGCAGCAGGTGGCGAAACCACTGAGCTAAATCCCTGGTCCCAGGAAAGACTTTTAATTGTAGATCCAACACCTAACCCACATGGTATTCAGGACAGGAGCTTGCATCAAGCCAATCCTTATAGCATGTCACTCAGTTGTGGGCATTGCCCTGAGTGCTCTCATGCACTTAGTTACTTTTCTCATTGCTGAGACAAAATACTCAGCAAAGTTAAAGGAGGAAAGGCTTATTTGGTTCACCGTTTATAGAGGTTTCAGTCTATAGCCAGCTGACTCCAAGGCAGGGTGGCATGGCAGAGGGGTATCACGGAGGAAAAAGAGTCCAAGGCAAGCAGTCAGGTGAGAGCACATTAGCCCTCTTTCTGTCCCTTATATTTTATGCAGGCTACACATTCTAGGGTGAGTGTATACTCACGCCTTCAATCCCAGCCAGAACTATGCCAAACCAATCAGTGGACTGATTTAGTCATCACACACCCTTGATCCCAGCACCACACACTGTAGACCCAGACACCTCTGAAAAGACTCCCCTGTGATCGCATGTTGCTTTGGGGGACATTTAGACACAAGCCATAACATTCTGCCCCTGGTCCTCCAAAGACTCATATACATCTCTTTTCTTGTATCACCCTGTGCTTCCCCTAAATCTTTTTTTTTGTTTTTTTCAGTAACGGGGATCGAACTCGAGACCTTGAGCTTGCGAGGCAGGTACCAGAACCACTGGGCTAAATCCCCGGCTCCTTTCATATACATCTCTTTATGCAAAAGGCATTTAGTCCATCTCGAAGAGTTCCCAAGGTTCTAATAGTTTCAGCATTGCTGAAAAGTCCAAGTCCCAAGTCTCCTCTGAGATTTAAAGTGAAATCTTAGCTGTGAGCCCCTAAACAAATGAAAAGGAAGTTACACACTTCCAACACTTAATGACACAAAGTAGATATTTCCATTCCAAAAGGTATAAATAGGGGGATACTAAGGAAAGGGACCAAAGCAAGTCCAAATCCAGCAGGCAAACATTAAGTCGCATAGCTCCATGTTCAATATTTGAGGCAATCTGGCAAGTTGTGAACTCCAAAGGGCTTGGGTGGCTCTGCCTCTACCCACTGCCACTGGTTGTAGCTCCTAGTGCTTCTCTCTTGGGCAGGCTCTGCTCTCTCCTTGCAGTTTTCCTCAGACAATTCACATTCCTGGCTTCTCTAAACTTCTGGGGTCTCCACTGCATCTTTGGCTTCACACTCACAGCTTCACACACTGCCCTCTCAGGGGCACACTGCTTGGCCCCTCAGGCCTTCTTCTGAAATCTGGGTGGAAGCCTTCCTGACCCCACAACTATCAAATTCTGCATGCATGAAAAACCCGGCACCATGTGAACAGTGCCAAGGTTTGCCATCTGGAGCAGTGGCCAGGCTTCCTTCTCTCCTGGCTGTAGGTGTCAAACCTGGATCTCTGAGCACTCTTAACCCAGCCCTGAGGAAAAAATTCTCTAGGTCGCCACCATTCTGGAACACAGTGCTCTAGGCTGTCTTCTAAAAGCAAAGTCTTTCATCTTTGAAACTCCGAGGGTTAAAAGGCTGGAGTCCTGCTACTTTTTTTGTAGTCCTCAGGCTACCTTTTTCTGTTGTCTTCTTCTGAAATACTTGGCTTTTTCTTACTAGTCTTTTCAGTGACAATTTCTCCTCTGTTCCATCTTTGTAGACCACAACTTTATTGGCAGTTCCTTTCTGGCCAAATTCACAACATTTTGAATCATTCTGCTTGGCTCTTTGCTCTTGATTATCAATGTAAATCTGGCCAAAAGCCCCCAACAGTAGCCATGCAACTGCCTCAACATTAGATTGCCTTGAAATTTCTTCTGCCAGACTTATTAGTCTACTGCCCTTAATCTCCGTTTCAGGAAGTCTCTGGACATGAGCAAAATGTAGACAAACTTTCTGCCAAGCCACTGCACACTTCCTCTGGAGTCAAACAGCCAATATAGTCCTTCTTCCCAGCAGAAACCTTCTGAGCCTGGTCTTTACTGGCATCATTCTGTCAGCATTCTGGTCTTCTGAGCTCTGACCAGAATCTCCCATCAAATACAGCCTAAGGCATTCCAGGGCTATTTTTTCAGCTGGAAGCTCCAAACTTTCCCAAACTCTTCCCACAAGCCAATTCCAAAGGCTCCTGGACCACATGGTCAGGTATAGTTCCAGCAATGACCCCACTTCTCTGGTACTAAATTCTGTCTTAGTTACTTTCCTTGTTGCTGAGGCAAAATATCCAACACAAAAAGTTAAAGGAGGAAAAGTTTATTTGACTCACAGTTTTTAGAGGTTTCAGATCATAGTAAGCTGGTCCCAAGGCAGGGTAGCATGGCAGAGGGGCATCACAGAGGAGAAAGAGTCCATAGCAAGCAGGTATGTGAGAGAGCTTTCTTTTTGTCCCTTATATTTCAGGGACAGGCTACCCACCCTAGGGCAGGTGTAGCACTCATCCTTAATCCTAGCCAGAACTATGCCAAACCAATCAGTGAAATGATTTAGTAATCACACATTCTAGATCCCAGCATCACACACACTTGATTGCAGCATCACACACTCTAGATCTAGCCACCTCTGAAAAGTGCTTCTCCCATGACTGCATAAGGCTTTGGGGGGATATCTAGACACAAACCATAACACACTTACATTTATTTCCCACAGCAAGCCTACCACACAAAGACCTTCATCATCTCAGTCTGACAGATGAGAGAACCAAAACCATACAGAAGTTAACTAACTTGTCCAGGGTCACAGAGTCGGTAAGTACCAGACCAGTATTGAACACTGGCAGACTTATCCTCAGTTAGCCAGTTTCACACTGCCTGACTGTCAGGGTGTGGTCTTTCACAATGGTGTATAAATTTTAAAAAGTATTTTCATGATTTCCCCCTGTATGCCTATCAGTTCCAACAAGACCCTTTGTCTCCTCAGCCCACCCGATCCCATTCCAGCACATTCTTACCACAAAAAACATGATGAAAGCCCTTGGCAATGCCTAATCTTATATGACTGTGGCTAAAGCCTGTATTTCTTCTCACAAGATAGGAAAGAGAGGTTTTCTTTTCCCATAGGATCTAAGGGTGAAGAATCTATTCTTCTCCATAGGGTCTGGGATAAATTAATCCAGACTTCACAAAAGTACTGAGCTGGGTAGATTTATTCTTCACAGGATCTGAGGAGTTAGATTCCATTCTTCTGCATAGAAGCTGTGATAGAAGAGTTCAGTGTTCTACACACAATCTGAAGTGGGAGAGCCCATTTTCCTGCCACAGTTTCTAAGGTAGGAGAATCCACTTTTACTCATAGTATCTGAGGTTGGAAGTTCTGTTTTTTCTCATAACCGATAAGGTAGGAGAGTCCATTCTTCACCTCAGATCTTACATAGTGAGTCCATTTTCCTCACAGGTACTGAAGTAGGAGAATCAATTATCTACATAAGATCTCAAGTAGAAAATTCTATTAATCCTACATGGATCTGAGTTAGGAGAATCTTTTCTTTCACACAGTACTAAAGTAATAGAATCTAGTTGTTCCTATTGCTACTAAGGTTGGAGAGTCCATTCTTATGCACAAGATCAGAGGTAGAAGAGCCCATCTTCCCCATTAGGACTGAGGTAGGAGAGTCTATTCTTCCACACGGATTTTGAAGGAGAAGGATCCATTGTTTGATACCTGTACTGAGCTGGAAGAGTTCATTCTTCCTCACAAGACCCGAGGTTAAATAGTACCATTATTCCACACAGGATCTAAACTAACAGGGTTTATTATTCTACTCAGGGTCTAAAGTTAGGAAGCCCATTCCTTCCACAGTTACCAAGTAGGAGAATCCATTATCTCCACAGGATCTGAGGTTAGACTGTCCATCATTCCCCAGATATGTGCACAGAGTCAGAGGAAGAAAAGTCCACTCTACCTCACAGGTACTGAAACAGAAAATATCTGGACTAGATCCAAGGTAATACCATTATTAGAGTATCCATTCTTCTCCACAAGACCTGAGTTGTGAGAGTCTATTCTAATCCACAGGATTTGAGGTAGAAGAGTCCATTGTTTTCTACAAAAAATGAGACAGAAGAATCCATTCTTTTCTATAGGCCCTGAGGTGAAAAAGTCCATTCTTTCTTACACTATCTTACACTTACTTTCCCCCCAGGTACTAGGTAATAGAAATTATTATTTCTCTAGGAAGAAAAGGGGAAAAGGGGAAGGAAGTGGGAGGGCTAGGGGAAAGGATAGAAGGGAATGGGATTAATATGAGAAAATGGAAAAATAGGTACAAAATCTTTATAAATAGGGAGGAATGGAGGGGTCGAAGGGTGGGGTGGGCAAGGGTGAAAAATAAGAACCAAGAGAGACTATGTAAAGTTGCAAATTTCCAATGATGAATGTCATTATATTGTATACCTAAAATGTACCAATGATTAGAATGAATAATCGATAATGTAAAATAGGAAGAAAAGGTCCAAAGGGGTAGGAGTAGTGGGAGGGGCAGGAGAAAGGAAAGAAGGGAAAGGAAAAATGCTGAGAAATGGAAAAAATGGAAATAAAGTCATTG